TCGAGCACCTTTGATTTATTTCTTGTCTCTGGAATTATATAACAGAGCAAATTTGGTTTTCCTTTTGTTGTCAGAATTGTTGGTGTTAAAAGACTTGTTGTAATTCTTTAGCTAATGTGTATTGTGTTTGTTTCTTTTTGTTCCAGACCGCTGCTGAGTATGAAAGGCGTAGAGAAAACTTCTTCAATGAACTTGAAATTGTCTTCGCCGATGTGGTAATCATTCTTCTCTGCTCATGTGGTTCAGATTCTGGGAATGGTTAGTTGGTTACTATGAGAAATTGTAAAATTGTTAGATGGTAGGAATGGATGAGAAAATTGACAGCCTTTTAGATGACCCATTCGAATAGACTAAAGGTTGGGTAGTTTGTGGTTGTGATGGGGTCTGCAATTTTTCACCATTAGTTTTTTTGCATGACTATGAGAAAGTAGTTGAGATTGACTTTGTCTCTGAGGTAAGAACCAAACTTTGAACTGTACAATAGTAGACCCGAGTCTTGTTGCCTTTTATATCTCTAGCTTCTTTCGTTTTTTTTTGTTTCTTTACGGATGAATATCTTCGAGCTAATTTGGAGAAAATAAAATGTAAAGGGTCAGCCTTTCCTGCTGTGTTACTTTGTAAGACAAAGTTCCTTGAACTATCTGGCAAAATAGATATGCAGAAGTTTTTTTTTCTCAGTTCATTTCGATAGTCTGCTGAATGATTTTGTATTTTTATGGTTAAGAGGATTCACTGTCATATATGGTTCTTTTGTCCTTTTTTTTGCTCAGGTGATGGCTATCATTGCCGATTTCATGTTGGTTTATCTTCCTGCTCCTACTGTTTCTCTTCGACCACCTCTCGCACTTACTGCTGGAGGTATATCCAAGTTTTTCCACAACTGCCCAGATAATGCCTTCCAGGTATTGTTTTGTGTAAAATAACTTTTGGCACACACTGGAGAAGTTTCGAAAATCTTCTTCTAGTCTAATGCCAATGTGTTTGCTGCAGATTGCTATCTCTGGAACCTCATATACTCTCTTGCAAAGGCTAGGTGCTATAGCGGTGTGTGGTTTTTTTTTATATACCAATTTCTTCCTATGTGATCTCAGTTGTACGCAATAGTTCGTTTTAAAGGCTTCTAATTTCTGAATAATATATATTGTTTGTATATGTTATGCAGCGCAATGGGGCTAAGCTGTTTGCCGTAGGCACCACATCATCGCTGGTGAGTCAAAACATATCTAACCTAAAAGGGAAATACAAGTCAGAAGATTGGATAGTTTTCCTTAAACAATATTTATAGACTCAGTTGCACATTGTAAAAGCTGTTGCTTCACATTTCGTTTCTACATTCTTTTGACTTAACAAATCTGTATAATTGGTTAGGTTGGTACCGCTGTTACAAATGCATTTATAAAAGCACGAGGAGCTGTGGACAAGACTGCTGAAGGTGAAATCGAGACTGTTCCAATAGTCTCCACAAGCATTGCGTATGGTGTCTATATGGCAGTTTCTAGCAACCTAAGGTACTGAGTTTTTTTCTACCAAATTACAGAAGAAGTCATAGAAAGAAAGCATTTAAAGGATCAACAAACCCAAAATAGTGCGTTTTTAGCATTTAGATTGGATAAAGAAAGTAAAGATCTATGGTTTGAAATAAACAGGTACCAAGTATTGGCTGGTGTGATAGAACAACGTCTCCTGGAGCCATTGCTACACCAACACAAGCTTGTACTCAGTGCGTTGTGTTTCGCTGTTAGAACAGGAAACACGTTCTTGGGTTCCTTATTGTAAGTTGTTTCTAAACCCAAACCTGGTTCTTACGCTCTGTCCTCAGCGGTTTTTTTTATTCACAAGTTCTTTGTTTTTTGTTGTTGTCTCAGATGGGTGGATTATGCGCGTCTCATAGGGATCCAGAAGTCTCATTGATGAAGCAGAAGAAGAATCTGATGAACCCAATTCGGCGTAATCTTCTTTCGACTTATGTATACGCAAACTACGCTGTCTTCATTTGCAATTGTTTCTGATTTTAGGGCCATTTGATTGTTTGTTTTTGGTCCTTTTTCTAGGAAATTAGTCGATAAATCCATGCAAACAAAGGCTATTTTCACAAAGCACATAGACTATATGCATTTGGTGTTTTTAAACCTCTCGATTTCGATTCGATGAGGTTCCATTCTTATACAAATGAAAAAGAATTTCACAGTACTAATAATAGGGATCAATGTATCACTACATATATGGGCTTAAGCAAGAACTTCATCTTTATGGCAAGCTCTTATCTTCACTTCCAAAATCTCTGTACTGTTGACATTTTGCACATCGCAACATTCGATTCCTGCACCCTGTAAAATTTACATATCAGATTATAGATCATATAGAAATGGATTATAGAATGATATATATCAGTAACTTGAAATATCTGATTACCATCTTGTGCATAGTAGTAGCAATGACTCGGACTTGTGAAATGTTACGAGCAGAGTGGTTGCCATTTAGCAAACAAGGAGGCAAACTACTTGCCGTTTTCATTTTGTACATAGTAGTTACCGAGCTTTGGTTCTTGTCCTCCACAACCGAATCAAAGAAAAACTGACGAGGCATCTCACATGGATCTTTTGTCACAAATCTTGTGTTAAAAGTATACAATGGTATTCTAACGTGATTCCATGGCAGGAATGTTTCGAGAGGGCGTTTAAGGTGGTTTCTTGGGAATATAGATTGGTAAATGTGGACTGAGTAGCCCCAAGAGACAGAGACTGACCAATTGTTTCCCCTTTGGTAACATATTGTTTGTTGCAGGACACGGGATTGGTCGGTTTTTGCGGTTTTCATGAGGTGGTTCACGGATTCCTGGCGGTTCATGGCTGGGAAAATCGGGTCTATGACATCGAAATGGTGGAGGCTTATAAGAGGAGACTGAGGATGAGCTGATAAGAGACCTGATATGTCACCGTGCAGATCAATCTGGTTATAACACCACAAGGAAGTTAGAGTGAGAGTATGTGAACATATTATAAGGAACAAAAAATCACTTTCTTCTTGGTTAAAATGGATGATTTGTTCTTACTTGATGGATGCCCTTCTCCATGGTAAGATCTATTCCCAAGTCGGCCAAGCAACGAAATGAGAGAAGATCGCTATAGACTCCGAGGTATCTTCTTATACATTCTTCCATTTTGTTGAGAAGTGTTTCCACGGTTGGATAGCTCAATGCGTATCCACCACCTCCATATCCCATGTCAAAAGCGAAAATCGCATTTGACCAAATGTTCTCCGAGTTCATACCGATGTAATAGTGTTTCTTGTGGTCATACCGGCCGAGAGCTTCAACTAGATTGTCCAAGAGGAAAAGAGTGTCATCATCCGCTATCACAAACCATCTTGTGTCATTGGATGCCTTCATAAACGACTCGTGGAGCGATTGAAAAAGGCGGATTTGAGTCTTGAATTTGTTTATGGTGACGAATGAGTCTTTGTTAACAGAGAAAGGAGGAGATTGTTGAGGCCAAGGCAAGAGATCACGACCAGGTGGTCTTTCAAGGAAGACATGTCCTTTTGTGATGTTTGGTCTCCACCAAGGCTCTATGTAGCCTCTCCTATACCTCCAAGTCCTGGTGCTACCAACAATGACAAACATGAGGTGGCTGATATTTGTAGGAGGCTCTTTTTCTGTTTGCAAGGGCGATGATGCAGATATCGCTGAGGAGGAGAAACTAAGGTCGAGAGGCGCAAAGAGTTTATGAGTTATCATTTTATGAGGATGGTTAAACGCAAAGGTGTGTAACAAGAAAAGTAGAGCACCAGAAATGGCCAAGGACTTCCATAAGGTAGATAATGATAGGCTCTGAGAGATATGGCTCAATTTGATTAGTTTGATGTTGGTGTTGTTCTCAAATGCCATTGAGAGACTAAGAAACACAAATAGATTTGATAGATTGAGGATTAATTCCATACATACATAGAGATATAGAAATAGTTAGTTCATAAATTAGAGGGGAATGTTGATCATGAGAGTTGATGTGCATAAATCATGTGATTTGGATGTTAAAGTACTGAAAGTTTCTCGTTTAAGAAAATGAATTAAATCAACAAAAATAAATGAAAAAACGCCAAAAAGGTGGTGATGAAGCAATTTTCATGCTGCTTCTATCCATAATTGCATGTAACCTTCTCATTTACATTACCATGTTTTAAACTTTCTAAAGCAATCTTGAACTATCTCACTTAGTTATATAAGATAACACTTTTCTATTTCTTTCACTTGGAAAACAATATTATAAATCATTTATGAGGTGTTTTTTTCCGAAATTACCACAAGGAAAAAAAACTCAATATGTTTTGCTTTATTTAACCTCTCTTCTTTTGGTCATTCTGTAACTTACATTGTATCAAGTAATCAATCTCCTTAAAAATCAACTCTCGAGCCTTGTTAGACATAAAAAATCAGATAAAATGGTCCATAAATTGAATTTTAAGAGTGACAATGAATCACATATATATATTTGACAAAAAGTGGAGCTGCAAAGTAGCGAGTTCACTGGAATTTTTAATGGGTTTAAAGAGTTTAACTGGTCAAATGGAAGTGAAAATATCCAGATGGGAATCACATCCGAAGAGGGATCGAATTTACGCCAAACCCTTTAAACTATTACTAATAGACCAATGCTGTTTGGTTAAAAGAGAAAATTTTGTGTACTAAAATTCTATAACATGTATTATCAGTAGGCAACAAACACTAATAAGATGTATCATAAAACCATATATATTAACGTCCCTAGATGCATGGGTAAGAATTCGGAAAATTCTGGTACAAGCAATTGTTTGCTAACTCATATATAGAATGCAAAATATGGTTGAGAACAGTTACATCAATATA